TTTAATATTTGGTTGTTGAATGGTTTGATAGAATAATGATTTCATCAATTATTTAAATATTTTTAATATTTGGTTGTTCAATGGTTCCATAGAATAATGATTTCATCGAATATTTAAATATTTTTAGTATTTGGTTGTTGAATGGTTTGATAGAATAATGATTTTATCAAATATTTAAATTCATTAACTATTTGATTGTTGAATGGTTTGATAGAATAATGATTAAATCAAATATTTAAATATTTTTAGTATTTGGTTATTGAATGGTTTGATAGAATAATGATTTCATCAAATATTGAAATATTTTTAGTATTTGGTTGTTGAATGGTTTGATAGAATAATGATTTAATCGAATATTTAAATATTTTTAGTATTTGGGTATTTGGTTGTTGAATGGTTTGATAGAATAATGATTACATCAAATATTTAAATTCATTAACTATTTGGTTGTTGAATGGTTTGATAGAATAATGATTAAATCAAATATTTAAATATTTTTAGTATTTGGTTGTTGAATAGTTTGATAGAATAATGATTACATCGAATTTTTAAATATTTTTAGTATTTGGTTGTTGAATGGTTTGATAGAATAATGATTTCATCGATTATTTAAATATTTTTAATATTTGGTTGTTCAATGGTTTCATAGAATAATGATTTCATCGAATATTTAAATATTTTTACTATTTGGTTATTGAATGGTTTGATAGAATAATGATTTCATCAATTATTTAAATATTTTTAGTATTTGGTTGTTGAATGGTTAAATAGAATAATGATTTCATCAAATATTTAAATATTTTTAGTATTTGGTTGTTGAATGGTTAGATAGAATAATGATTTCATCGAATATTTAAATTCATTAACTATTTGGTTGTTGAATGGTTTGATAGAATAATGATTAAATCGAATTTTTAAATATTTTTAGTACTTGGTTGTTGAATGGTTTGATAGAATAATGATTTAATCAAATATTTGAATATTTTCAGTATTTGGTTGTTGAATGGTTAAATAGAATAATGATTTCATCAAATATTTAAATATTTTTAATATTTGGTTGTTCAATGGTTTCATAGAATAATGATTTCATCGAATAATTAAATATTTTTAGTATTTGGTTGTTGAATGGTTAAATAGAATAATGATTTCATCAATTATTTAAATATTTTTTGTATTTGGTTGTTGAATGGTTTAATAGAATAAAGATTTCATCAAATATTTAACTAATTTTAGTATTTGGTTGTTGAATGGTTAAATAGAATAATGATTTCATCAATTATTTAAATATTTTTTGTATTTGGTTGTTGAATGGTTTGATAGAATAATGATTACATCGAATTTTTAAATATTTTTAGTATTTGGTTGTTGAATGGTTTGATAGAATAATGATTTCATCAATTATTTAAATATTTTTAATATTTGGTTGTTCAATGGTTTCATAGAATAATGATTTCATCGAATATTTAAATATTTTTAGTATTTGGTTGTTGAATGGTTTGATAGAATAATGATTTTATCAAATATTTAAATTCATTAACTATTTGGTTGTTGAATGGTTTGATAGAATAATGATTAAATCAAATATTTAAATATTTTTACTATTTGGTTATTGAATGGTTTGATAGAATAATGATTTCATCAAATATTGAAATATTTTTAGTATTTGGTTGTTGAATGGTTAAATAGAATAATGATTTCATCAAATATTTAAATATTTTTAGTATTTGGTTGTTGAATGGTTAGATAGAATAATGATTTCATCGAATATTTAAATATTTTTAGTATTTGGGTATTTGGTTGTTGAATGGTTTGATAGAATAATGATTACATCAAATATTTTTAGTATTTGGTTGTTGAATATTTTGATAGAATAATGATTACATCGAATTTTTAAATATTTTTAGTATTTGGTTGTTGAAGTGTTTGATAGAATAATGATTTCATCAATTATTTAAATATTTTTAATATTTGGTTGTTCAATGGTTTCATAGAATAATGATTTCATCGAATATTTAAATATTTAATTGTTCAATGATTTCATAGAATAATGATTTCATCGAATATTTAAATATTTTTAGTATTTGGTTGTTGAATGGTTTGATAGAATAATGATTTTATCAAATATTTAAATATTTTTAGTATTTGGGTATTTGGTTGTTGAATGGTTTGATAGAATAATGATTTCATCGATTATTTAAATATTTTTAGTATTTGGTTGTTGAATGGTTAAATAGAATAATGATTTCATCAAATATTTAAATATTTTTAGTATTTGGGTATTTGGTTGTTGAATGGTTTGATAGAATAATGATTTCATCGATTATTTAAATATTTTTAGTATTTGGTTGTTTAATGGTTTGATAGAATGATGCAAAATACTTAATACGTAAGTCATAAAACAAAATGCTCTGAATGTAACAAAATTTGCCAACCAATATGTATGCGAAGTGATGACTAATCTTAGTCTAGACAGACAACTATATAAACTTACATTGTCTCAAAATGGTATCATCGACGAACAATCATCGTCTATTTGATGTCGTGTTATTAGATATTTTATTATTAATAGTTGAATAATAACATTWGATATTATTWTAAAATATTTAAATAAATTTTATTATTGATAGTTGAATAATAACATTTGATATTATTWTAAAATATTTAAATAAATTTTATTATTGATAGTTGAATAATAACAAYATTTRATATTATTTTAAAATATTTAAATATTTTTAGTATTTGGTTGTTGAATGGTTTGATAGAATAATGCAAACATCGAATAAATATTAAAATATCTAAATAATTTATATTATTAATAGTTAATTAATAACATTTAATCAAGATAACACTTCATTATATTTGTTTTGTCTGTTTGTCTGTTTGTCTGTTTGTCTGTTTGTCTGTTTGTCTGTTTTTCTGTTTGTCTGTTTGTCTGTTTGTCTGTTTGTCTGTTTGTCTGTTTGTCTGTTTGTCTGTTTGTCTGTTTGTCTGTTTGTCTGTTTGTCTGTTTGTCTGTTTGTCTGTTTGTCTGTTTGTCTGTTTGTCTGTTTGTCTGTTTGTCTGTTTGTCTGTTTGTCTGTTTGTCTGTTTGTCTGTTTGTCTGTTTGTCTGTTTGTCTGTTTGTCTGTTTGTCTGTTTGTCTGTTTGTCTGTTTGTCTGTTTGTCTGTTTGTCTGTTTGTCTGTTTGTCTGTTTGTCTGTTTGTCTGTTTGTCTGTTTGTCTGTTTGTCTGTTTGTCTGTTTGTCTGTTTGTCTGTTTGTCTGTTTGTCTGTTTGTCTGTTTGTCTGTTTGTCTGTTTGTCTGTATGATACCTTTCCTCGACAACCATATTTTAATTCAAATCTAAAAATGTATTGTTATATTTTCAATTTTTATTCAAAGCAATGTTATTTCTATGGGAAATTTTTAATGTTTATAGCACTGGTAGGTTTTAAGGACAGGTAGGCAGGTATTGTAGAATTACATTTGGCTATATTATATGAGTCACATAGCACCGGGAGATTAGCTACCTGTGCTAAATTTTTGTAAAATTTGTGTTTAAAGCAATGTTATTTATATGGGAAATTTTAAATGTTTATTGAGCACTGGTAGGTATTAGGAACAGGTAGGCAGATGTTGTGTAATTACACTTTGCTATATAGTCTTAGGGCACTGGGAGGTAAGTTACCTGTGCTAAATTTTTGTTAAATTTTATCAAATGTTTTTTTCGCAAAAATGATTTAATTTTTAATTTTTATTAAAATTATTTAAATATATATAAAAACTAAAATTTCTCAAAAGTTTAGACGAATTAATGTGTATTGGTTCTGTAGTTTAGTTACATTAGGTTAAGTAGTTTGTTGTATAAAACAAGTTAGGCAGTCAATCAAATTACTTATGATGAATAATTTATAATTAATAAAAGAATTGCACGACTATACATGTTCCGCGGGTTAAACTAGTATTATTTTAAAATATTTAAATAAATTTTATTATTGACAGCACCTGCCTACCTGTCCTTAAAACCTCCATGAGCTCAATAAACATTTTAAATTTCTCATAGAAATAACATTACTTTAAATCAAAATTGAAAATTTTAATAAAATTTGAAAATTTTTGCATTTGAGAAAATTTTACAAAAATTTAGCACAGATAGCTAATCTCCCGGTGCCCTTTGACTCATATAATATAGCAAAATGTTTTTACACAACACCTGCCTACTTATCCCAAAAACTACCAGTGCTCAATAAACATTTAAAATTTCCCATAGAAATAACATTTCTTTCAATAAAAATTGAAAATTTTTGCATTTGAGAAAATTTAACAAAAATTTAGCACAGGTAGCTAACCTCCCGGTGCCGTGTAGCTTATAGAATATAGCAAAATGTAATTACACAGCACCTGCCTACCTGTCCTTAAAACCTCCATGACCTCAATAAACGTTTAAATTTTAATACACAATAAACCATAAATTTTTAAATACCTGTATTAACAATACATTTTTAGATTGAATTAAAATATGGTTGTTGATGAAATGTGCACGCATACAGACAGACAGACATAACTATTATCTTAAAGTGTTATCTTGATTGCAAAATATATATAACTTTATTGTTGCAATAATTTATTGAATCTAATAAATGATTTTTTTTCAATTTATATTTTATATAAATACAAAAGTAGTATTAAAAGTGTTATACAAATGCAATTAATTTAATAATAGCTGACAAAACATTTAAATATTTATCATCAGTTAAAATCTTATGAAAATTATTAAATATTTTAAAAATGTGAAAAATGATTATTATATATATATTATGTGATTAAAAAAAACCAAATAACTTGTCAATAATTATCAATACAAATAATTATCCAAATAATAAATGTATATATAATTAATGTATAAATGTATATAAAAATATATATAAATTTATATATTCGTACAAATAATGCTTAATAAATAAATACAATTTGATAATTATATATACAGTAATAATACAGTATATATATATATACTGTACTTATGTGTAAAACATATCAAATTGTAAACAGTTGTCAAAAAAAATTCAATTATTTAGACAAACTCTTCTCTTTCGATGCCAACAAATCTTAATTGTTCTGTCGGTCCGTATCTGTAGTCGAAGAATAGTTCTTCTCCCGACTGAATGACCCGTTTGGCAAATATACCGATTCTGTGATCTCCGTTAACCATCATTACCTTTGCGTAACAGTTCGGGTTTATCGAGTGATTTGCAAATCGGATCTTATTTCCCTTTCTGGTGGCGTCCACAACAAAATCTGATATTTAATTTAATAATAAATAATTGAAAAATTTAAATAAATTTTTAAAAATAAATTATAACAATAATACAAACCATTGTTCAAATTGAATAGAAAACTACACATATATTTGTCGTAGACTTTGCCTCTACGGTCGGCCTCGTCTTGCGATATAATTTCACCGCAATATTCGCTAATAAACTCGTTTTTCTGAGCCGTTCCGCCCAGAAATATGCCCCAACCGGCCACGTCTGACGGCGCCAAAAATAGATGCTTTCGTAGACCGCGTTGAACACAAACATTACGACAGCTAATGTTTTTCAGATCAAATTGATCTATAAATACAAACAAAATTTATAAGAAATTATTTTAATTTCTAAAATATATCTACTGTTTGATACCTGCACCGCATGCCTGACACAAATCGGGATCACATTCGCGGACAGCCAGATAACAGGGACACTGTTTGGTATTGCATTGGGCTTTACATCGGCAGCCGGGAAATCGTTGGGCACAATCAGAGCTACAGTTACAGAATTTTTCGCAAAAATTCTGCGCCTGAACACAGGGACAGGTACTATCACACGACTGGCCCGGATGATCACAGGGTGTATAGTTATAGACATGATTGGAATTTCCATCTTTTTTGTGCTGAAACTTTCGCTGATGATTGGACCACAAGCGGTGCTTCTTTTTCTTCTTTCGCGGCGGTGTCTTGTCGTTCATACTGTCCTCGAGTGGCAAATCGCTCAGCTCTTTCTGGGCAAACACATAGACTTCGGCGCACGACTTGCTCCGCAACATCGACGCTATGATACAGTAATTGTTATAAAATGTTTTGATGAGTACCCGAAACAACGACTGTTCAGAACCGTTCCATTCGGTAGTAATGTCGGCCAAACTGATGGTAGCGGCTGTAGTATCGGTAGTAATGGGCAGTGATTCGTCGTCGGGCGACGGCGGCGGTAGGCAGTAGTCGTGATAGTTTGGTGGCGAAAAATTTTTCGACGGCCGATATTTGTCTTTCTTTTGTGTCGTCGACGTCGGATTATTGCTATCCTCGTCAAAGCATATGTTATTAGATGAAACCTCAGAGTTGGACAATGGAGGCGATTGGGAACGAGTTTTCTTGGCTGTAATAAAAATATTATCCGTAATTACGATAAGTTAAAACTAAAGTTAAAAACTTATTTTATACAAACTTTTTATAGGCAATGATTCAACTGAATCGTTGCTGTCCTCACTGCTCGCATCATTACCGCTGTCGTTACCATTTGTCTGATTTCTTGACGATCGTCTCTCCACTTGTTTTTGTTTCTCTTGAATTATCTTTTCTTTGACGATATCCTTATATGATTATAAAACACAAATAAATAACATTTTATATTCCGATACTGTATATACATATATATATATATATATATATATATATATATAGTATTATCATACGGTAGATCTAGCATTGGTACTACCGATACTAATAATAACATTACCGGTACTTACAATATGAAGAAAACATTTGTTACCGCACGGCTCGGATTTCTTCTCCAAATTGTTATGTCTTCTCTTATTTAGACGAATCGGTTGAAATGCTATACAAATTAATTACCGGTAAATTAAAAAAAATCAAATATTATTATCAAAAAAATATCAAAAACATACGGTGCAAAAAGCAGTCATATTTGAAACATCGACGACAAAACAGTGTATGAAATGAATGCATTGTCTGCTCTCTAGGATAGGACTGAGTGTTGTTGCCGTCGATATTTAGTGTCGACTCCAATGGCTGTACTGTTGTATTATTGCGTTTTGCCAACAATTCTTCGTATTTGTCTTCCAGTTCTTCAGGAGTTCCCTTATCGGTAAATACAGCGGAAATCGCGTGAAATATCATATTTTGTGCTATTTTTGCCGGCATTCGTGTCATTTCTGTGATAAAAAAGACAATTATCGGTAATTAAATTAAATTTAAATATTTAAATAAAAGATTATAACATACGAGTGGCAGTTGTCGAACGTTCGCTTCTTAAGATAATTTGTTTGTCTTTTTTCGCGCCATTAGTGTTCACATCGTCATCGATGGTGTCATTGATAAGATTATTATCATTATTGTTAGTGATCTTATGGGGCGCTTTCAGAGCGTCGACGAGTTCAACAAATACATCGTCGGTGACAAAACTGCTGTCGCGGTCGCCGTGGACTTTGCCGTCATAGTTCTTAATGAGTTCTTCAATAAACGAGCCATCGGTGTCCAGTACGTCATCGCCCATATACGGGATGTTATGCAACACTGTTTCGTCTTCAACCATAAAGTTTTGCTGAATGGGAGCCCACGTATACCTAATAATGAAATGCAAATAAAATAAGACATTACTTAATGGAAACACTTATAAGATAGCATTGTTGATATACATTGTGGGAATGGGTGTCACGGCGTACATCATCCGTATGGGAACCGATTGTTTGGTACTAATGTTGGACGTATCGAAGGGACGCATTTCACACTGTCATCAAAATGTGTTTAAAATAACAGATAATAGACATAAATGATTGGTTTTATAAAGACCTTTCGCATAATGGAGTGATGTGTGGGTATATCAGTCGGGAAGTGGACAATAGCCGTCGATTCCTTCTTAATCTTATTAATGTTTGCCAACGCCTTTGTTATCTCATTTCTGTTGGTCACATATGCGCCCTAAAAGTGTATATAAAAGACATACAGTAATACAGATTAAGACACTAACAATGGCTATCCATTGTCCAGATAACTGATCACTTACTTTGACGATATCGTTGCGTTTGTATCTCTTGGTCTGAACCAAACGCATGTACTCCGACCGCACCTTACGTTTCCATTCGTGTGGAACCACTATCTTCATCGCTGGCGTCGACTTCTTGATGCCATTGTTAGTGCCGTCGATGGCTACGCTATTCATCGGCATCCGGTCTGTTGATGACTCGTTCATTGCCGCCGCCGCCGCCGCAGCCGTAGTCGATGCCATTGCGCGATTCGGGTGGTGACCGCAACACAACCGTCCGTTACTGACTGTACCACTCACTCAATGACCCGATAGACAGCACACACACACACCTAGAGATTGCTGTCAATCGATGTTCATGTCTTTGTTGGACCTAATTGTGTGATAATTAATAAAAATAATTGATTTGTTTTGTGTTTTATTGTTGTTATTGTTATTATTAACTGTTTTGCGGTATTTTCTCGCTTACCATACAATTCAATACAATTCAATACAATGTCTATTAATATCAATACTGTATAACAGTTACTATTGGCTATAACAGTGAAAAGCGCTGCTTTCAAAAAAAATATTTTAATTTTTATATTTAAATATTATTATGTTTTTTTGTTACTTATAAAAATATTAGTTAATTTAATGTTAGATATAAAAATTATTAAAAAATAACTGTCAAATAATAAAATTAATTATGTGAATTAACAGTTAATTTTAAAACTTTAATGTATTGTTTGCACACTTGCAAAGCTAACTATTGATATAAACATTATTATAATTTAAATTATTTCATAGTGTATTGCACTTTAAATCTATTACTATATTTAGATATTACATTAAATTTTTTTTAAAAAAATTGTTAAAAATAATATATAATTAATTTATATTTAATAAATTTCTAATCAGTATAAACAAAATAAAATTTTAAAACTTTTAATAACTATATTTGACAATTTCAAAATTATAAATATAATTATGAATAAATTGATTTAATTTGATTATTTTATTTTCTAATTTTTTTTTATTTATTAAATTATTTTGTTTTATATAAAAAATATTAATAAATTTAAATGCTAATAAATAAATTTTTTCAGACATTTAAAATTTATTAGATAGTGCAAAAAATATGCTAAATCAACATTAAATATAAATAGCAATTAATACTTATTAAACAAAATTTTTAAAAATTTCACTTTTCATGGCATAAATTTTAAGGTCAAAAATTTTAATCTTTTTATTTTAATTTAATAATAATAATTATTAGTATAATGTTATTAAATTTCATTTTCAATATTAGTTATAATAATAGCTAAAATAGAGATAATATATATATATATATTTGTATGTATTAATGCAATTTGTCAATAATAATAATAATAATAAAATAGTTTACTGGGTCATAAACATATTTGAATAAAATTAATTACAAATTAATAATAATAATACTAATATTGCAATTATTGCCAAAAATAAGGTTATCTAAACCCAACTATGATGTTAGGTGTAAATGTAAAACAACTATCACTGACCACTGGTCTAACATTTTTGAGTGAAAGTATTATTAAAAAAATGGGTCACTATTTTGACTCTCAAATACCTTAAAGCAATTATCAGTGAAAGTTTAGAAATTTTATTATTATTATTATTGAAAGATAGGGATTAAGTTTTAGAAACAACACACACACACACACACACACACAGGGGTTGTCCTAATTTTGAAAGAATATAAATACTGAATGAAATGGACAGTTGTGGTCATCAGTTTGTTTTCATCAATCATTTGATAAGTCATCTGAAAAGTTATATTTCATTCCCATATCAAACAATTTTTGTTTTGTTTTTTATCATTCACTACAATGAACTTCACAAAAGTCGTCTCATTTGCCACACTGTTGGTTGTTCTGGCTTTGGCTCCGGTATCTGATTCACATCTCATGCTATTCAAGAAGGGACTGATCGGCGGTAAAATCTTCGCAAAGAAAGGTATAATAAATTTTTATTTTTGTTGGTTTTGCTATAAAATAAAACTGTTTTTTTGTGGTCAGGTTTAATGTTTGCTCCCCTATTGATTCCCGCAAAAGTGGCCGCCGTAAAGGCCGGACTTATCGGTGGTGTAGTCGGAGGCAAAATCGGTGCTAAAGTTGGCTCAGTGTCCAAACTGCCGCTTTCGGTTGTCGGTAAAGCCCTGCCGTTGCTTAGCAAACCCACATACAAGGCTCCCGTTCAGGTACTATCGGCACCAGTAATACCGGCACCGGTTTACAGGGCACCGCTAGTGGCACCACTACCACCGCCGGCACCCATCATCAAAAGCACATACGCAGCTCCAGTACAGACATTCAATACTGGTTATTAAATTTAGATAATTAGACAAATAATTATAAATTATATTAATAATAATAATAATAAAATAGTTATAAATATTAAATATACAAATTTGTTTGTAATAAATCATAGTTTGAATTTAATTACTAATTAAATAAACAATTTTTTTTATAAAAAAAAACTTAATACAAACTTTTTATTTAATTATTTTTTTGTTACAATTTGTATAATCACTTGAAAGTGGCGCTCAAAATATTTTAAGTATTTTTTTTAAAAAAAATTAATATTAAATATTACAGTAAATAGCGTTAAGCTCTCTATTGGTGAACACATATATACTGTAATATGAAATGAGAGACACAAATGTGTTGTTTGAATGCAATAATCATTTTTAAAAGCCATTCATTGATTGATTCATTGATTCATACAAAACAATAATTCATTTAATTTATTATTAAATTCATTGCTTTTTTTCACAGTATTTGCTGAAACAGACAGTATTTTTGTTGTTGTCGTCGTCAGTGAGATATCACTTAAAATTAAAAATCTGTTTAATTAACACAACTAACTGATCCAAATTGATTTGTTTGCCATCAATTTAAAATCAATTAAAAATAAATCTCATTATAATTATTTAGTTTTTTTTTGTTTTTGTATTGATATAAACGGCGACAATGACTACTAGTCTATTGACAAACGAGATCTTGGATTCGCTTCAAGACTTGGATTATCATGACTTCGATGATGTTCTTCTATCCGACGGCGACAACGACTCGCATGTCGTCGATGTCTTGTCTCAGTTGACGACATTCTCGTCGATCGTCTCGTGGATATCCAATCAGTTGCAGAAACTCTTGCGTTTGGAGTCATTGGTCCATCCGATCAAAGGTAAGACAAATGTTTTTTTCTTCTTAATGAACTACAAGACCACTAAATCGCTTTTGTTTGTCCAACAATCAGATGATAAAGAGTTGGACGCACTGAAGATTGAATTGAATTCACTGTTTCGGGAACTAAATTCACCGTTAATTGACTTACCATTGACTCAGACTGACAACCGATTGATAATACTTAACAGTCTTTTGGGACATCTATTGGCCAGTCGTATGACTCTTGTTGACAATAAGATGGCCAACAATAATGCAAATAACTCGATGACGATAACGATGAACGAAAGCCAAACGGCTCGCGACTTGAGGTCAATGCTAGTAACGCTCGGTATGGGAAAACCGCCGGAGAATATCGGCACCGATATGTTGTTCAAGAAAATCAAAGAAAAGCTGACACAAAGGATAAAACAACAACAGTTGGTCATTGAAGACAGTCTATTGCTTTCAGACGGTTTGCTTTTATCGGGCATTCAATGGAAGACATTGGAGGCCATTGATGGCCAATTGAAAGGGGATTATTCAATGCGTCGCGAAATGCTTTTGAGACGCTGTGACTGTACGGTCAAGTCGTTTATGTGGAAGAAGTCCGACAATAATAACGCCGATTCCGAAGTTCTTGAATCTCGAATTAAAGAAGTCTACGAAAAACAGAGAAATCAGTTGTCAAGTCATCCGAACGTAACGTTGGCCAATGCGTTGGCTGCGCGTCCATCCGATTGCCAGCTACTCATTAACGGTGTCGTCAGCAATAAACCAACCAATTGTCTCATAAAAGTGCCGCAAACTAAAGGCATGGCCAACAAAGGTCTAGAACAGCAAAAACAAATGGAAGAAATTCATAAATTTCGTATCGGTTTGGTTCCCGATCGCGGCGGACGTCCTAATGAACAAATTGCACCGTCAAAGGAAAGTTTTTCTCAACAACAGCAGCAAAGAGATAATCCACAGCGTGGTAGAGGTGGTCATAGGGGTGGCGGCGGCGGAGGACGAGGCACTGGTTATGGGAATCAAGGAGTAAGTAGTGGTAGCGGCGTTAGGCCTGCGATACCGCAAAACACTAGTCGTATACAGGGCTCCGGTTGGACACAAAATACCGGTGACAGGTATTCATCAAAAAGTAATTATCAATACCAACAACAACATGAATATTACGATAATGGAAGACAACAACATCAACAACCACGGCATCAACAAAATAACGATAATTATTACCAAACTAGTGGTCAACAGTACGACCAACAACAACAACAATATGGAGGATACCATCAGCAACAACAATACGGGTCTCAACGACAATCACAGTACGGGTCTCAACAACAATACTCAGATGGACACTCATATAATAATAATAATAATAGCAATAATTATAATAATCAACAACGAAGTGGTGGCGGCGGCGGTGGTTATAGAGGTGGTGGTGGCGGCGGTCGACGCTATTAACGATATTAACTAATTTATTTAAAATTATAGTTTACTTTAAAAGTTTATTTATTTACTGCTAATATAATTTATACATTAAATTAAATTTTTGTTTTCGTTTTTCTGTGATAAGCCATCAATACGATTGCTAAACTTAATTAACTATTTATATAATATTTGATGAAATCATAACTTATTTTTACGGTAAATATAATAAATATATCAACTTTTTTTGCAAATGAATTGCTATTAGTAAATGAATTTTTATTTAAAAGTTTTTATAAATCATAAATTTTATTAATAGTAATTTAATGAAATTAAATTTACATGTATACTATATATTATTCAATATGTATAGTACTGTAATGTAAAAAAAACTATAGATAAACTTTTTATCAAATATTTATAAAATAGTAAACTTTTATTTAGTTTTTACTAAATTATATATAATTAAAAAAATATTTATTATAATTAAAAAAAAACTTTGACAAATTTGACACATTTTGATTATGATTGAATTATTGTAGTGACAATGACTAAGTAATTGACTAAATAATATTATATGATAAGCGCCAACTGATAACCGGGACACACATTCATACAAGTAGGCGATAGGAAGCCCCCCTCTCCCCTACCGCCACCTTAAAATTCCGGTTCAATAGGATTGGAGTGTGCTTTGACATAATATATAGCTCCCGTTCCCCGGCGCCGATTGGACCACCATTTCATGAAGACATCGCGTTTGATGAACAATACAAATACCAGTGCAATGAAGAACAGTGTGAACGACACAAATACTATAAGGAAGAGTCGCATTAGCCGTACTTCGGCGTACATCTGACTGTGCTCGCAATGGATCTCTGTGTGGTCGATCAGCATCAGGTCATCGCCTCGGAATTTGGATGGAGAAGCGCAACTATTGGAGGTCATTGGAAAAGTTTAAAAATAATTCAAGTATACATACAAACTATAAAATTATTATCATTAAAGTTAAAGCCATACATAATGCCGTGTGTGAGCTCTGGTCTCAGATGACAGTATTTGGCCCAAAGTATATGACAATCGCAAGCCCAGGGATTCTCTCTCAGGTCAAGACTGGTTAGATTGCCTGAAAAAAAATCATAAATCAAAAATCAAAAGTAATTAAAAAATTTTGGTAACAAAATGGCGCTTACAAAATGGTAATGTAGTGTCAGCGAGATATGACAATCGGTTGGCTCTTAAGTTGGCCTCCTGTATGGCCATCCAACTCCTATTGAATATACCATAAAATGCGTGGTTGTCTATATAGGACAGGTGCGGGTTATTACTGATGGATATCTTTCTCAGATTATACAGATAGGAGAATGTCTTCTCTTTGATTTCGATCAACTCTTTCATGTCATCCAAATACAGTTCCTGTAGACCAGACATCTTAATAAACGAATGTTCATCCAGTATTGAAATAGGATTTCCGTTTAGTTTTAATATTTGCAAATTGCGTGCACTTCTCAATGGTGTCGTCGGTACGACCATAAAGTCGTTGTCGGATAAGTCCAGTTCAGACATTTCAAACAAATAGTGAAAGATATCCTCTTTGATGGCAAACAAGTCAATGGCCGACAAGTCCAGTGACTTGAGTTGACCGGAATACTGGAACAAATCCGGTTCAAGCATTCGTAACGGATTGTGCGCTATACGCAGCTCCTGGAGGTAAGTCGTCTTTTTCAGCATATCTTTCGGCAATATTTCGATCTTATTGTAGCTAAGATTGAGTGTCAACAGTTGATTGTTGAACAGTTCGCTGGGAATGGCGACCAATTCGTTGTGACTGAGGTCTAGGCCGCGCAGTTTGGTCAGTCCGTCGAAAGCGTGCGGCGATATCGACTCGATCTGATTGGACGCCAGGTCCAGGTATTCGAGGGCGTCGTTCGAGTCGACGACATCGATGTTTTTGATGACATTCATACTGACATCTAATGCGAAAATATTTTCCGGCCATAAGGAAGCCGACGGTATGTGCTTTAGCTTTTCACGGGTACACTCCAGTTCGGGTCGATTTTTACCGGCCATAAAACAGCGACAATTTTCCACTTTTGTCTCACACGAACCGTCATCGTCTGCTGATTTGTCGGCGGCTCTGGTCAACGGTAGTCCACTTGTGGCCAAACATATGAAAACAACAATATTAATGAAACGGAATCTCATTGTTCCTCTTATACGTCGATTTCGCACAAATATCTAAAGTTTTTTTTATATAAATAAAAGATAAGTAAATATAAACTATTTTTTTAAATAAGTCTAAATTCAGTTTTAACCACAAAAAAATATATAATTAATTTCACAATTAATTTACTAAATAATAATAAAAAGTAATTTGTTTTTTTATTGTCAACTAAACTAAACTAAATACTAGACTATAATATTATAATATGTGATAATATAAGGGACAACACCTTTAATTTTATGAGTTTCCGTTGCTGTAGTAGTTTCAAGTGCCCAATGAAATGTATGGTTGTTATGAGATTTGCGATAAATATTTGATTGCAATTAATCTAAAAAAATAATTTTTTTTTATTTATTAGGTTTAATATATTATTATTTTATAAGTTTTATTTTTATATATTTTAGTATTTTATTTGTTACCTTATTTCAATGTATTATTTGTCGAGAGCTTTATGTATGATTACCGATAACTTTTTAAGCAATATATATATACAGTATATAAATATATAGTCATACTGTTGTTGATATTATATTATTATATATGGCATTTATTACCACATATTTGATGATAAGACAATTTTGGTCACTAAGGAACCGATGATTAATAATTATTATTTCTTACTAAACAAAAGTAGTAAATAACACAAAAACGTTATATTATTGAATAAATAAATATATTTTTAAAAATATAATAAACTTAATAATTAAAAATAATTAAATACTTAAAAAAAAATAATATACATGATTTCAAAAATATATTTCATAATTAAAACAAACTATTAAAAATACACTTAAATAACAACAACAACAAAATTAATTTGAAAATTGATATATGTATAAAATATTTTATGCTATGTTATAAGTTAATTATAAGTTATTATTTAATTAATTAATATTACACTTAAGTTATGTTATATTTTATTTGAAATACTTTTATTACAATAAACAGTTATCAAACTTATTTAAATTTAAATATTTTTTTTTTGTAATTTATTTTATTAAATTAATTGATTGATTGTCATGGGGTGGGAACAGCTGTCACGGGTCGTACTTTACACGAACTGACACTAAACGAGTCGATTCGCTATTAAAATGGTGATCACGTCGAACAATGGCTCAATAAATTGTTTCAAATAAAAAGTCATCGGATTTGTATGCATGATGTCCGCATCGGTTACACGTCCACTGTTTGCTGGCGTCCATAATCGGTCGACCGCTGGCCACACATATGGCAAACTTGATGTGACAACTGGGACACACTGTCAGCCAATCGGCGATCATTGTCTCGCAATAAGTGCACTCACTTTTCGTAGCCGTTCGCGAATCTTTTGGCGGATTCTTACTGAATATATTGATTGCCAGTTCTTCGTATTGGATTCGATGATCATCGCCGATGGTGTCCATCGATTCCAGTTTGATGAACGCCTTGGAACAAATGGAAAAGGCTTTGTTGGCACAACTGGTCAGTGCAAGCAAACAGTATATCTCTTTGCCGTCGATAAAGTCTTCGTAGTCACGCAAATGTAATGCCGTTTTCATAGCCGAATCATAGTAGCCTTCGTACAGTTGTCGCTGACATAGGATCAAGTAGTGGTAGGCTTCGGCACCTGTAGTATTAGGGTATGATTCAGGTATACGTATTCATATAATAATACATAAAAAAAGTTTTGTTAACTTTATTTAATATAAATTTACTGTATATATTCACTCGAATAGCCGATCAAATGCATTGGATCTTTCATAGTAGACAACTGCTTCGTCCCAACAATGATTATCGGCAAACTGGTCGCCCAGATTGCACAGTGCGTCACGCAATTGATTGTCATCGGCGGTAGCGAATCCCGATTGTAACAGTTCAACCACTCGCTTGTATTGGCCCAATGTTTTCCTTAATTCAATGGCCAGATCTTTGCGATCGATATCTAAGTAAACGCGTTCCGCTTCGTCAAACTGACCACTATATGCATTAATTTCGGTATGAATCTATTGACAAACGAGATCTTGGATTCGCTTCAAGACTTGGATTATCATGACTTCGATGATGTCCTTCTCTCCGACTGCGACAACGACTTATATGTTGTCGATGTCTTGTCTCAGTTGACGACATTTTCGTCGATCGTCTCGTGGATATCCAATCAGTTGCAGAAACTCTTGCGTTTGGAGTCATTGGTCCATCCGATCAAAGGTAAGACAAATGTTTTTTCTTCTTAATGAACTACAAGACCACTAAATCGCTTTTGTTTGTCCAACAATCAGATGATAAAGAGTTGGACGCACTGAAGATTGAATTGAATTCACTGTTTCGGGAACTAAATTCACCGTTAATTGACTTACCATTGACTCAGACTGACAACCGATTGATAATACTTAACAGTCTTTTGGGACATCTATTGGCCAGTCGTATGACTCTTGTTGACAATAAGATGGCCAACAATAATGCAAATAACTCGATGACGATAACGATGAACGAAAGCCAAACGGCTCGCGACTTGAGGTCAATGCTAGTAACGCTCGGTATGGGAAAACCGCCGGAGAATATCGGCACCGATATGTTGTTCAAGAAAATCAAAGAAAAGCTGACACAAAGGATAAAACAACAACAGTTGGTCATTGAAGACAGTCTATTGCTTTCAGACGGTTTGCTTTTATCGGGCATTCAATGGAAGACATTGGAGGCCATTGATGGCCAATTGAAAGGGGATTATTCAATGCGTTGCGAAAGTGCCGCGAACTAAAGGCATGGCTAACAAAGGTCTCGAACAGCAAAAACAAATGGAAGAAATTCATAAATATCTTATCGGTTTGGTTCCCGATCGCGGCGGACGTCCTAATGAACAAATTGCACCGTCAAAGGAAAGTTTTTCTCAACAACAGCAGCAAAGAGATAATCCACAGCGTGGTAGAGGTGGTCATAGGGGTGGCGGTGGCGGAGGACGAGGCACTGGTTATGGGAATCAAGGAGTAAGTAGTAGTAGTGGTGGCGGCGTTAGGCCTGCTATACCGCAAAACACTAGTCGTATACAGGGCTCCGGTTGGACACAAAATACCGGTGACAGGTATTCATCAAAAAGTAATTATCAATACCAACAACAACATGAATATTACGATAATGGAAGACAACAACATCAACAACCACGGCATCAACAAAATAACGATAATTATTACCAAACTAGTGGTCAACAGTACGACCAACAACAACAACAATACTCAGATGGATACTCATATAATAATAATAATAATAATAGCAATAATTATAATAATCATCAACGAAGTGATGACTGTTTTATTCATAACTATTAATAGTTATACTATTTGTACGCCTCTTCAATATCGTGACGTTTTGAGAATGACTTGAAGACACTTATGTAGTCTTCATTGTCCATCCCTGCGCTAATCTGCGCCCAAACCGCTTCGGAAGCGAACTTCTTGTCTTCCAAACTGAAGCCTTATAATTATATTTAAAAAAAATAAAATAAAATAATTAAATCAATCAATCAATCAATCAATTAATGAATCAATCAATCAATGAATCAATCAATGAATCAATCAATGAATGAATGAATGAATGAATGAATGAATCAATGAATCAATGAATCAATCAATGAATCAATCAATGAATCAATCAATGTGTATACCTTTGTAAACTGATGACTGAAACTCCGCTATCATCTTTTTCTTGACCTGTAGTATCAAATGCTCGGGAGTCGGCATGTGGTCATCAATTTCACCGGTATCATTTTGGTGTTGCCATTTTCGGGCGGCGCGACGGTATTTCTTGTCGGACGAGCGGATCTGTTTTGTGGCGCCATACGCCACCCCCCTATGATACCAGCGCTTCCGATTTGTGGACGCCTGATCGGGCACAGCAAACACGCCATCCCTCTTTAAAGCAGGGTATGACCCGATAGTCAAACCTAACAAAGACGGTGCCATTGATTTTGACTAAAAAATTAAAATTGATTAAAATGTATTAATTGATAGAAAAAAATAGTGCAAATAATTAATTAATTAATTGATTGATTAAACAAAAAATTAGTTTAAATTAAACTTAATAACAAACCGTAAAAATTGCTTTAATTACGGTAATTCAAATTTAGTTATTATATTGTATTTAACACTAATAATTAAATCAAATTATAGAAAATAACTATACAATAACTATTGTCTGAATAGTAATAGTTTTACAGTTTTTTTTTCACAAAGTATTGCTATAAACAATGCGCCCAACGGTTTGGTTTCACTGGTCTTCAATCGGAAAGTACTGACGTATACTCTATCGGTTTTGACATCATATCTATTTAATAGACGATAAAAAAATTACAATTTAAAACTAAAAGTCTACTTATTATTATTATTACATACTTGGGTAGTCTATGTCGGGGACAGTCGACAAAATGAAACAATTGTGGACAAGAAAACAAAAAGTTAAACACTTGTGGTATGAAAAACAATAGCATTGTTTTCGGGAAAGTGACCCAAAATGCCGACCACAGCGAAGGTCATTCCGGCAAAATAGCAATACGTGTCGCCGACAAACACTTGCGATGGATACCAGTTATGGTAGAGTAGAGCAGCCGTTACGGCAACAAACGGCAGCATAAAGTGCAATGAAAACAGATGACACTGCCATTGATCCGATGACCCGATAAACTCGATTATATTGTAGACTATTATCGATAGTCCAATGACCAGACCCTGACCGGCCTCTATACCGTTAATTCCGGCCACAATGTTGATGGCATTCGTACAGAATACGGCTAACATTGCCAAATACAGGTAATAAATTGGTCCCAAATGAACACTATAGCCAACTAAATCGCGTAACGGTTTGGGAACTATTACTGTTGTATTGTTATATGTAATACCGTAGACCGTTAACAGCGGTAGAGTTGCTATCGTTGGCAGCAATAGTTTTGTACGCCATCTTAGGTCGAGTACATCGTCGGCAAAGCCCAAGAATATCATACAACAGATGGACAGCAAAGCACTTATCAATTGAGCGAACTGTTTGGTCAAAAAAAACAAACAAAAAATCTTAAGCAAATTAATATTAAATATCTTTCACGGGATATATATACCGACCACTTCGTGTCTAAAATCTTCGAGAGTGAACAGACATTCATTGCGGTTGAGAGGACGTGAACGGTATGGGAATAAACAGAAACATTACCACCAGATATACACAGCCGGCGACCACTCCCTGGGATTCAGCCCTACAGTTGACATTGTCTGACTTGTGGTATAGCTTTCAAAGTAATATAAAAGGCTGTCATCGACATCAAACAGTTGATCAGTATCTGTATAATAGTATTCATTTTGTATTTA